CTGCAACAGTTCCATGATACATCTTCAAGGATATGAACATGTATGGCTAAGCACAATTGATAACAGTGCATCTAAATTCCAAAATCAATCTCTGCAATAGTCTATGTGTTTCCTATTGCCAAAGGGGCCCTTTAGAGTAGTGAGAGAAGATCTTCACCCTGAAACCCACAGCGTCCCTTTTCAGCAGGAAGTAGCTAAGAGAATATGCCGTTCCCTTTTCCTTATGAATCAGGGTGAAGCCTCTCTCAGGGAGGAGGGATAGGGAATTGCAATGCATACAATGACAAAGGAGATTATTCAGAACTGGCTTTGAGAAGCACTGTGACAATGGGTCAATTAAAACAGACCTCCAAGGGGGTAAAAAATAAAGAGGAACAAACTGGGGTGGGGGGTAGAGAAAATAGTGCAACAATGAATGAATGAATGGAAATCCAAAGTATCTTTAAATGTTCATAAAAATTAATAAAATTTAAAAAATATTTCATCTACTTACTACAAGGGGGGAAGTTAAAAACCACTAGTTGTTCTTTAGGAGAAAGATGTGGTAGTCTGCTTTTGTGTAGGCTTACAGCCTTAGAAACACTCTTTGGCAGGTCTACTCTCTCCTACGGTTTCACCAAGACTCAGAATTTATTTGAAGGCAATGCATTTGATTTTGGTTTCTTACCATGCTGACCTCTATTACCATGAAAATATTAATAGTTTAATATAAGATTTAATGGTAAAGACAATCTGATCCAATTTTCAACAGAAAAAAACCACAAAAAGATATATATGTATATATAAATAATATATACGTTCTTGTTTTTGGATAGGATTTTTCAACATTATTAAGATGTCAGTACTTGTAGGTTTATTTATAAATGTGATGTATTCCCAATAAGAAGATAAAAAATTTTTTATCTAGAACTAGACAAATTAGTACAAAAGTTCATATGGAAAAATAAACAAGTAAAACAGTTAATATTAGAAAGATAATGCTTTGTATTATATCAAAGCATACTACAAAGTCTCTATTATTAAAACAATGTGATTCCAGCATTGAATAGACAGATCACTGAAACAGAATGTAGAAACAGATTAAAGAACATATGCCAATACAAAACACAACAAAGTTGCTATCTGAAATCAATGGAAAATATAATTTTTATTTTTAATAAATGGTGATAATTTGGGATGTATTATAGGATTCAGGAAAAGTGATGTTAAATTTCTTGGAAAGTTTATTGTATTTAAATTTTTATATTTACTAAATATATTTCTTTTTGAGCTTTCCTTTAAAATTCATGGTCATGTTTACTCTGTCCCTATCAGCCCCTACATTATCATTATTACAGTAATTATCGTGCAAAAAGTCATCTGCCATCTATGTTTTGAAGTCTTAAATGCCCACTTACTGTATTTGTATTAATAATAATCGTATATAATGAAACTGTTTAAATACAAATAAAATTTCTGATAAGATCAAGAACTATTATGGATATAGAAACTTTTACAAAGAACTCGTTATTTTTCATTTGAGCACTATCCCTATATAAGCTCACATAATGATAATAATAATAGTTATTATTATTATTTTCACATTAGGCCTAACCCTCTAGATAGACAAACTATAGAACAGGACAATAGAAACCTGATGAACCCAAATCCAAAAAATACCTGTATATTGATGTAGCACTTGTCTTAATTCCTGTAAGCAATGGCTCTCAGGGCTAAAATCAAAAATTACATCATGATGATCCAAGAAACTACACTTTCGGTGAAAGATGATTTTGCCAAGTTCAAACATTGCTTTTACATAAGGATCACTGGTACTAGGAGAGAAAGTTGAGACAACATGTTAATAAATTACTTAAATAACGGTTTACAAGTATCTTTTATACTCTCATGTCACTGACCCGTTAATTTGGCAGTTGGTCTCCTGGGTGAAAGCACATTTCAAGAGTATGTCCAGGGTCATCAAGTTGATGTGTTCAAAGACCTCCACAATTGTGTGCTGAGTGATTAACATCTTCTCCCACTTATCCTAGCAAAGGAAGTCAAGATCAACATCATCACTATCATCAAACTGCCTTTGTCTGATGGTTCCTCCAAGTCTTCTCATTACACTTAACAATCATGTCTCCTGACATTATACTCTAAGGAAAACAGCTCAGGTGCAGCAGGAACCAGAGGTCACATAAATAAAAAAAGACAACTGCTTACTTTGGGCAAGAGCAAGTGAAAATATATTTGGCTGGGTAAGAATGAAGATGAAGAAAACTGGTAAATGTCCTGAGTTAAGGATCTGTAGCCTTTCAATATCACTAAAACCCTATTGTGGAAGAAGTACATTAACACAGACAATCTTACATACATCCATAATTATAATAAGTTTCCTCAGGGTTTTTCCCTACTTCAGTGCCCAAATGACTAAGAATCCTGTTACTGCTTTCAACTATCAAAATCATACTAATAATAAATCTGAAACTTTTATAAGAAATTTTTTTTATTTAGAAATGCAAGACAGAAAGAAGAAAAGATAGGAATAATGTCAGGAGGAACTGGTTCGGAGTCAAGCTACTGTACCCACTTTAAACCAAAATAAAAACAAGGAAAAAAACCTTACCGTATCAAGTGAATTATGACTTGTAGAAAACCTCATGTGTATGTGACATTACAGTATTATTTCATAGGGTTTAATGACTGATTTTTCAGAACAGATCAACATATCTTTCTTCAATGATGCCTCTGGGTAGATTTGAATCACTGATTCCTAGTTTAATCACCAACCACTTAAAATTTGTGTCAACCAGGAACTCTTGGGCCTTTTTTTACTTGTTGCTGTTAGATGCTGTTGAGTCAGTTATGACTGATACAACATTAACAATCTCTGAGTCGTTTAAGCCTTTTGTTACGGCCACTGTATAACTCCATCTGGTTGGCAGTCTTCTTCATTTTTGCGTCCACTTCTGAAATGGCAGGCCTCTGAAAACCCTATGTACAACACAACACA